ACTTTAAATGAAGCTGGGTAACGGTCTCTTTTTATATGTACGAGACACTTCATTGACACCGTATAGCCGCACATGCGCAAACAAACCGGTCCCTAATCGGAACACTGCTTATGTTTCTTGCTGAAAAACATCCAATAACTCACCAAACGTAATTTGTTGATTGTTTTGTGAATTTTTACGGCTGCAAAAAAATATTTATTCAGTTGCATGATATATATATATATATATATACACACACACACACACACACACACACACACACACACACACACACACACACACACACACACACACACACACACACACACACACACACACACGCATGTAAACTCTGGAATCGAGCAATTTCAATGCAAGCTGAGTGCATTTGTTGATAAATGCTACGACTCATATCACACAAATTGCAAAGTGTTAAAGGAACAAAGCCTTTTCTAACCAATAAATTATCCATTCCGTTTGCGAGGAAGGAATACAATAAAATGGTAAAATATTTAAATCAATTAGAAGCTATAAACATTGACAAAGATTTATTTGAGAAGTATAAATTCAGTGTTGATCAACTAATGGAGCTGGCTGGGCAAAGCTGTGCCATTGCAGTTGCCAAGTCTTATCCATTATTGGAAAATTCTTCAAATAAAGTATTAGTATGTTGTGGACCAGGCAATAATGGTGGTGACGGTCTTGTCTGTGCAAGACATTTGAAGCAGTTTGGATATTCACCAGAAATTTATTATCCAAAAAGGACAAGCAATACATTGTACGAAAGACTCTTGCATCAATGTATGGAAAATGATATTCCTATTCTAGAAAATCAATATATAGAGAAAGCAATGGATTTGACAATTTTACACAAATATACAATCATAATAGATGCTCTTCTTGGATTTAGTTTCAAACCACCAGTGAGAGAACCATTTGTCTGCATTATTAACATGTTGAAAAATACCACTATTCCTATTTGCAGTATAGATATACCTTCTGGCTGGGATGTCGAAAATGGTCCATCAGAGGAAGATGCCATAAAACCACAAATGTTGATATCTTTAACAGCACCAAAGATGTGTGCATCTAAATTTCAAGGAAGATTTCATTATCTGGGTGGACGATTTGTGCCTAAAAAGCTAGAATCGCAATATAATCTCAATTTACCAAAATATGTAGGAACAGATTTTGTTATTCAACTGCTACAATAAATGCTCATAGAGTAATATGTTCACAACTGTATATTACAAACTTATATAATAAATTTGTATATTCAATAATTCGATTATTTTGTATCTGATTATCTCTTCTCCCTGCTTATCTTGCTGGAAAACAAAAGAGAAAAAAAAAGAAAAAACTTATCCCCTGTCAAGCCGTATTAAGGCATTTTGCTCGTGGTCTAAAATGAGATAAGTATATCTGTTCTTTGTAGTCGAGCCTTCTGGAGCCTTCTGTACTTTTCCGCTCTCTCTCTTTCTCTCTTATATATTTCATTCATTTTAAGGATATAAAGTGTAACTTAAAGTGTAATATAGTGCAGTTGCGTAGAGCAGACTCGAGGTTCGAGTTCTGTCGAGTTACGATCGTTATTGTGTCACGTGTATTATTTTTTTCTAAATTTAGATCGGAACTATCCAACAACTAACAGGTTATCTTTGTAGCCATGAATGTCACATGTGCTGTCATTTTAAAGATATCAAGAGGATAAATTATCTATCTATATGACGTTCTCGTAAATTACCCAAATTATTTCACCATGATTTCTACAGCCCCATTTGTTTCGTTGTTTCTCTTTTTGCTCAATGCCCAAGCAGGCCCTGTGTTGAATGTTCAACATCCAAAATTATTAGTCGTTTCCTACGATGCCTTCAGGTACAGCGCAAATATCATACATTTAGAAATAAGAATATATAATTTTAATTTTATTTCTACTTTTGGCAGGTATGACTACTTTGAGAGAAATCTAACACCGTTTATGAACCAATTAAAAACAAAAGGCACATATACAGACTATATGATCAACATCTTTGTCACTAAAACTTTTCCCAATCATCATACAATGGCAACAGGATTATACGCAGAAACACATGGGGTTGTAGATAATGAATTTTATGATCTCACCACGGGCAATATTACAAAATATTCCTACAAGCTGTATCACTATGATAACAATGTTCTTCCTATTTGGGTATGTTTAAAAGAATAATAATTATATTTTACTTTTTAATATACATTCTTGGTATATGATTTTCATTTGATTAATGCTCTAGACGGTTAATGAAAAAAATGGCAGACACAGTGGTACAATGATGTGGCCAGGTTCTGCTTTTGAATATCAAGGAATATCGCCTACCTTTTCACAAGTACGTATATTATCAGACAATATAATTTAGTGCTAAAAATTCTAAAAATTAATTTAATTGTTAAACATTTTAGCAATTCAATGACAAAATTCCATGGGAAGACAGAATCGATACATTAATGTCATGGTTTGTACATCCCACAAATCCAATAAATTTTGGAATATTATATATCGAAGAACCAGATTATCATGGTCATGCTATTGGAATTAACACTCCTGAATTTAATAAAATTTTACAAAGATTGGACAATATTACAAGATACATGCATGACAAAATTGATTATTATGGTTTGACAGATCTTAATGTAATTCACTTAAGCGATCATGGCATGGCGTCGGTCACAATGGAACGAATAATAAATTTGACAAATTATATCAACGCCAGTGATTATACGTTTGTAGGAACATCTCCAGGATTACATATTTTTCCAAACCCTGGTAAGGTTATTTTATAATATGCATTGTAAAATTACTACTCGTGTCACTACATCTTTTTTAAAATACTCCTATTAGGGAAAGAAGACTTGATTTATCAAAAATTAAAGTCTGCCGCAGAACAAACGAAGACGTTCGAAGTATATAAAAGAAAAGATATTCCAAAGAAATATCATTATGGCAATAATACCCGTGTAGGGTCTATTTTTATCATAGCTGAAGTTGGATATGCATTTCAGAATCTCTATGATACTATAAAATATTACAAAAAGGAATTTAATATTACGGGTAATTTTGCATTATGTCCACATATTTATTGCCATATTTATCGCATAAGTTTTAACATAAAATTATCATTTCCAATTAGTTAATAATCAGACGGAATTTGGACTGCATGGTTACAATAACGAAGCTGTGGAGATGCATCCATTTTTCTTTGCAAGTGGACCTGCCTTTTTATCGGGATGTAAATTAGAACCTTTTAATAACACGGACTTATTTCCCTTATTTTGTAAAATACTTGATTTGGAGTGCCCTATAGTTAATGGTACTTTATCTCATATAACAAAGTGCCTTAGGACACAGCCGAAAGATTTATCAATATCTACATATAAAATAATCTGTAAGTATCATTTTTAAGAATTTTATATAAATTGTATATGAATTTTTTTCTGAGGTTGTATTAATATCTCTTTAGTTGCAGTTATCGTAATCGCCATATTACTAGGAAGTTTAATATTGGTGACAATAATTTATAGAAAAAAACGAAGATTATCACATGGTTACAGGTAAAACAACAAGTCAATAATTAACATTAAAAGACTAGAATTTTCAATCTGCAACATTTGAAAAGTTTGAATTTTTCCAGTTATTTTTGTATATGTATATTGTTTTAAATTAAAATTTATTACTATCTTATTTCATTTAAACTAATGCACACACTTAACGCATTAAGAAGCTTTAGTAACAAAATTATTTTTTTTTTTTCAGGGAATCATATTATACAGTGGGAGAATAAATTGATAACAAATATGATATTCATATTTTCCTTGATTTTTAGTTAGAGAATTTTAATCAGAAATAGATACGCGAAGAATGTAATATGACAGTAATATAAATTGTATTTTAGTATATAATTGTATTTTAGTAATAAACTGTACAATATTAATTTATTTTTGCATCTCTTTAGACTTTATGTCGCATAAAGAGATATTTTTAATTCCATAAATGGATTGATAAGAAAAAAATGTTGGCAAAGGTTTTAAAACATTTAAAATGTTAAAATTTTGCTAAGTCATAGAACAAAATAACACTAATCTAGCAAATTTTGAAAAATATTAACTTAATAAACTGTGATGTACAATATTAGCGCGTGTGCGTGCGTGTGTGTGTGTTTGTATGTATGTGAGTGTGTGTAATGTTATTACAATATAAATATACATCTTGTTGAATAAATAATGTAATAAAGTTAAGATACTTTAACTTTAATATTTCAATATTAACTTTTACGTAATTTTTATTTTTAGAAGAGTACTGGATGATTCAGAAACTCAGCAACTTTGGGATGAAAGCTTAATTCCTCATTTATGAGAATATTAATAATAATAATTAACATTTCAAATAAACACGTAAACAGAAAAAAGCATTTATGTCTATTGTTTTAATTACTTTTATCCTCAAATATTCAATATTCATTATTCAATGTTTTGATATCTTCCAACAATTAAGTATATTACAAAATAGAAAAATTACAAATAATATTAGGTTATTGCTCTTCCTTAATTAAATTAAGAATTGTGTTAATATACAGCAATAGAGCAAGAGCTGGGTTGAGTTGCTCAAAAATTCACATTTATTAATTAAAAACAGACGTTTCGGCCAAGGGATGTGGCCATCTTCAGTGTTAATTTTTACAAACAAATTATTACACGAATAGAGAAGCGTTGAATAAGCGTAGTTTTTGATTTAGGAAACGCATCCTCTGATAATACGTGTCGTACATTATTTGTAGTTAGTTTAAATATATATGTGTGAAGCCACGGACTGTCTAACTTGAACGGTTCGTCAAAATTATGTAAAAAGAAATTAGAAATGTGACATGTGTCCACAGCAGTGAGTGGGACTCGAGTCGAGTGACATGAAACGTCTGTTTTTAATTAATAAATGTGAATTTTTGAGCAACTCAACCCAGCTCTTGCTCTATTGCTGTATATTAACACAATTACAAAATAGAAAGTATTGCAAAGAGAATTGTCTGCGTCTATATTTTATGTCGAGGATATTTTTTTCATCGTTTTTCATTTATTATATGTTTTAGAGTTATAACTATCCCAGGGAGAACAACAGGTCTAAAAAACGTCTAAGAAACGTCTAATAGACGTCGATAGACGTCTATTAGACGTTTCTTAGACCTATTGTTCTCCCTGGTATGTATACATATATCGTCGGGCGAATCTCGTAGAACTGATCGCGCAGACAAGACGTAATCGAAATAATTTATTCAAATTGTTCCATGTGAAAAATAACTAACAATATTTGCGAGATCTGTTGACAAATATAGATAAATCCACATTTTTCGCTTTAAGACTTTGATTTGCATCTTTGTGCGTGTACGTTTGTTCTTAAAATAAAAAATCGAGTAATCACAAAACAAATGTTCGCAATTTGCTTTCTGTATGCTTTCTCATTTGACAGCTTTTACAATGAATGCTAATATAACTGTCACAATAGTTTCGTAAAGATAAAAACGTTTACACGCCGTCTCAGATAAGAATAAGGCGAATTTTTCATAATGTGCTGTATGCATATGCTTTTAACATCTTAAAATAGTAATAAATTGCAATTAATTACAATCTTATTACAAGTAAAAATTTCATAACCCTACACACACACATACACGCTATTTATATTTTAAATACATAAAATCTTACGAAACTATTGTGACAATTATATTAGCGTTCGTTTATAAAAGCTGTCAAATGAGAAATAAACATACAGATCGTTGATGCCATTTTATTCATCGTATTACGACACAGACAGTGATATTATATTAATTACGGACATTATGACTCCACGATAAACAATTTGTGTTCAACTTTGTCCGTAATCGCGATAACGCTCTCAGAAGATATTGCGACGGTTTTATAGATAAGATCATCTCACTTGCTTTCGATTGTCCGCATATTGAGAACACAGTGAAAGAAGACTTTTGCGGCAATAGAGATATGATAAAGTAGGTATGTCAATACTTAGTCTAGTATATCAATTCTTGTTTGATCAGATAAACATTGATTAATATAAAGAGTGAAAATCATGCTTCGGCATGAATTGTGGAAGCGCCACTTGACTCACTAACAAGTCGATTATTTTATACTTCTAGATGTATAGCAAAAATAAATGTTCCTTGGAATCAGACATACTTATATACTAAACTGCAAAAAAATTCCACACACAGTGTGGAATTTCACAGATCATTATCAAGTGGGATTTACAGACTCGTGTCATCAGAATGATTTGTTGCCTAAATGTTTGTACAAATATGACGCCTGTTGTTTCGAGCTTTCGCGCATAAATTAATATTATTCTCTTCTACTAATAATCATATATTAAGTCAAAAAAATAAGAAAGAGAATAATAATTAAATCATATAATGCTTATAATTCTTTTCTTTTCAAAGAAAAGTAACAATAATATGACATTAATATTTTGTCTCGTTATTTTTACCGTTTATTTTATTCAAAAATATAAATCTCAAATGAGAACATTATTTGTACAAAATCATGAGTTATAATTTTGTGTGAACACATTGGAGGAGAATTAATATGTACATATAATTGTATCCCTCTTAAGCGCTCACAAAATATCTATCATAGCAATACTTTCGTGACATCTTTCCGAAAACAACAACGGTCGTTACAATTTTATTAGTATATAGAATTGAATGAAACAAGTAACTATTTTAGAATCGAAATAGGAACAAGTAAAGTTTCTAGAAATAAAGATTTTGTTTGTAAGACAAAACATGACCTAAGATTGCATTGCCTAGGGATTAGTTGATTAATATGTATGGTATTGATGTAGCCAATTGCTAGTCAATTGCTTGGTTGTATTTAAATTGTTGGAAAAAGTAAATTAGGTCATCTTCTTTACTATTAACTTTTAAGTATAATTTATACAATCGTTTCTTTTTCACAGATTTATTATAGAATTCAAAATTACTGCTTTATAAATCATACATTATTTCATATTTCTCCTGATATAAAAATTCACATAATTGCTATTACTTTTTTAATCTTATTTAAAAATCTTTATATGTTGCTATCAATATTGTTTTATATTGCATGCTGCACATATTCTGCACGTATTTTTCAATTAGATTGGAATCAATTTAGAGCGCAATAAATATGGCTATAATAATTGAAAGAAAAAATCATTATGACGTTCCATATTATTGTTCCAAAATATTTTTATTTCCATAAACCCTTTCAGAACTAAATTTTTATGTGGATACTGCGAGTTAGCGGGATATTGAATCAATATCCAAAAATATCTACTAGGTGTCTGCGCGGTATGGGATATGCGCGTTTCTAGAAGAAAGAAGAGGCCGGTGGTTCGAGAAGCAGCAATGGACGAGGACGATCGATGTGATCCGTGGCGCGTTCAATGCCACTTGAACATGAATTGTGTTCAGTAACAGCAGCAGTAGCAGTAGCAGTAGCAGTAGCAGTAGCAGTAGCAGCAGCAGCAGCAGCAGCAGCAGCAG